TTACAGTATGCGGGGCCAAAGGATTTATAAAGATTTGAAATGCCACAAATTGATTCAGTGTCAAAATTAATACAAATGTCAGTTCGCAGTTTAAATAAGTTTCAAGGTGACAATGTGTCAACGCTGCGAAATCGGTTTAGTGCGTTTACATGTCGATAAGTGATTGGAGCGTTTGCAAAACATTTTATTTCGCATAATGCGTCTAAATTTATCAGAAAGCAACTTATGTGATATTTTAATAACAATGTTTATATGACTATTAACCATAATAAGAGAGTAATGACCATTTTACAATTTATATATCACATTAATATGAAACTGCAATAGAGCAATTGTTTGTGATAGAAACCTAGGCATTAGGTCGGGGAATTTTTATCGTGATGACGTGCACGCCACTTTGTTTGGCGTTGACTATAGAAATGAATGTCTGTAAAGAGGAAAAAGGAAAGGAAGCAACATAACCGAGTATGATATTAGTGAATATATTTTATGTGTGAACAGGCATTAAAATCATTGACATGGGCTGGCATGACGCTAACTCAAAAACACATTTTAGCTAAGTAGGTAGTTACTCACATTTAATGACATTTTTTAGGAAGTTTGTGTTATAGACGTTGGTCTTATGCCACTGGTGAACAAAATTAAAATAATTTTTTGTGATATGGACAAAAATAAGGTGGTTATTATGTAAAACGTATCCAAAAAGCCAAAGATAGCATTCGATTTTTTCTGTCACCCACGGTTTTCTTGCAATAAGGCATTTTATTTGCTGCTTATACTCGTAAAATATAAGGATACGTGTGTAAGAGTACTAATAAACACTCAAATAATCGTTAACCTCAGAATGTTTTTGTTGATGTTTTACGGCGATATGTTGCTTCTGAAGTATCTCTTAACAATGTCCAGCAATAATCAGCAAGCAAATTGACACTCCATTTGCCTTGATACAGTTTTTTCATAGCAGAAATGCCTTCATCACTTATCGCACCTAAATTTGCCAAAAAAAAAATCGAGATGAGAATCCAAAAAGTGAATTTTTAGAGACAAGTAACATCCAATTCCTTTATAAGCATTAATCAGTTCACTTACAATATCTTTATAACTGTCCGCCTTCACGTTGCCTAAAAAATTTGCAGTAACTGATTTAAAAGCATTCCAAGCTCGTAATTCAGTTTCATTTAGAGCACTGTCAGACACATCATCCTTCATAATTTTCCGTATTTGCGGACTCACAAATATGCCCTCTTTAATTTTTGCCTCACTAAGTCTCGGAAATGTTTGTCTTAAATGCAGAAACCGTCTTCCATTTCGATCCATGGCTTTCACAAAATTTTTCATCAGTCCCAACTTAATATGCAAAGGTGGAAGCAACACGTTGTTGTGATCAACTAGTGGTTCACGAGCAATGTTTTTGAGGTCCGGAGTTAATATCTGACGTAGTGGCTGCTCCTTCTGTCCATAAAGATGATCTCCCGCACGACTGTCAAATTCACAAAGAAAACGACAATATTTGGTATATCCCAGTTGCATTCCAAGAAGAAGGGCTATTACCTTTAAATCTGCACATATGGCCCATCCATATTCATTATAACGGATATGGTCTAACAGAACTCGCATATTTTCATATGATTCCATCATATGAACTGCATGCGCTATAGGAACAGATGGATATTTATTACCGTTGTGTACCGATACCGCTTTTAAACTAAGCTTAGAGAAATCAATGAACAGGCGCCAGTCATTTGGATCACGTTTCTGTCCTAACGCGTCAAACAAATTGTTGACATCGGAGCAATATATTAACTCCCTTTCTTGACGGAAACACTGTGTGAGTAAAAAGTAATGTTAACATCACCCTGGAGAACACTCCGTTCTTTTATTCTTGATGCTAAAGGCTCTAACTGGGATTTTGACAGATTTAACTCCATAACTAAGTCATTAAGTTCGCCCTGAGTGATAAATTGCGACGCTGTTGAACGTTCTGCCAGATCACACGAAGGATCGGAAATTTTTACGCTTTCTGTACCATCACTTTCAGAATCGGTAGATTCGACTTTTTCACCCAAAGACCAACATTCTGGTGGAACTGGGACAGAACATCTCTCATCTTCAACACAGAAAACGTAACTGACTCGGCTGCTATTAGTCTACTAATAAACGCAATATGCTCCCACATATAATAAACAGAAATAGACAGTTCTTAACATTATATATGTGCGTTATTGCATAAACCCCGAGAAATGTTGCAATATGACATGTTACGTATTGTACTTCATAAAAGAAGATGTTACCGAAAACCTATGGATGATAGAAACAGTCTATTTTTAGATTTGATTTAAGGGTCTCAAAATACATAAGATACACCCAAAAATTGCCATGTCACAAATCCTGTGTTTATCAGTGTGATCATTTCCATTACCCCTTGAGAAACACAACTTAATTTTACCAAACTACATACCATCTGCCGAAGAAAACTGTCTTAGAGAGCTGTTGAATCCGTATCCAGAATACGTTAACATCTATACTGACGCATCTAAGGACAGAAAAGGAACAGGTTGTGCCTTTATTGTACAACCCAGTGGACATTCATCAAAACTCAAATTGAACAGTCTCACATCTATCACAGCTGAAGCCATTCCTATTCTCAAAGCCTTGGAATACTTAGATTCCAAGGTACTTATCAAAGGGATTATAATATCAGACAGTTTCTCAGTCTTGCAAAGTATATCTAATCCAGTCGACATAAATAACTCTTATATTAATTCATACATCTTGAAAATAAAGCAGTTCCTTCATAAACTAAACGCCAAAAACTACAGAATAAAATTGGTATGGGTAAAAGCCCATGTCAGAAGCTTAATGAGAGGGTTGATAGATTGGCCAAGGAAAGCATTACTTCTGGAGAAATCTTGGACCACCTTCTCCCCATAGATGAATATATTCATTTTCAAAAAAAAAACAAACGAGAACTGATTGGGAAACAATATGGGAGAAATATAAAAACTCAAGAATAAATAGATACGTATTAATACAACCCGAAATCCCTAGATCCACCTGGTTTAGTAATTACAATTACAACAGAAAAACCTTAACGACAATGATAAGGATCAGATTTGGACACGCATGTTACCCAGAGCATCTAAATCGGATTGGCATACTGGACCTATGCACAAGATGTAATGAAATTGGAAATCTCGACCACCTATTCTTCGGTTGCCAGAACAATAGGAATCAATCTCTGCGACTAATGAACAGAGTAATGGACCGACTCCTTTTAACCTCATACATCTATTATGCTTAAGTAGAAAGGAGATCTACGACAGCCTGGCTGAATTTATCCATTCAATCAATGTAAACCTATAATCACCTCACATACCCTTGTTGCCTCCCTATGTGTTATATCCCTCTTCTTACCGTGGTTTACCTGTGCACGCGTAAGAACTCGCCCTGACCGACCCCTGAGGCGTAAAGAAGTGTCCTCTGTGAAGATCCCTAGCATCATCCCACTAAAACATGAATCCAAAATCAAACCGATGATCCATCATTCATATAATGCCTGGTGACTGGCTGCATGAACACCTAGTTCTAATGCCAAAAAAAAATTAGTGTGATCAGAGCTCTTATTAAATATCCTTGTCCGTTCGTCCTAAGCTCTTTAACGTACCTCACATGCTGCGCTAACATTAATGTTTGCCCTCTAACATACTTCGAGGCTGGAAATTACGTTTTAAGGATTCAAATACGAGCACGTAATATAACATTTATTTTTTGTTCAAGTACGTTAACTACTAATTTTAATTCGCACCGCAGACTCTTCAAGTACTATCATATGGTTTCAAATAATTTCAATCTAGGACAAGCCCAAAATATTTACCAACACAGTCCCCAATAATAAATAATTATGGTCACTTGGTGGCGCTGTTATCGGACACGGCAATTACGTGATACCGATGAAATGTTGGAAACATTTCCAAAGACGCATTATTAGTGTTTCTTGTTCTTTGTTAGTAACTCCACCGTCACTGGATCACTCATACCAAAAGTTGTTTTTTCTACTAATGTGGACTATTACACATGCAAAGTAATCAAGATCAAGGTCAAGTCTGACTTCTGGTAATGGTACCCTATCGAAACTACACTTGGATGGTTCGTTTTCAAGGTTTTGGACTGGATACACTTAATGGGCTTGAATGATTCGATCATTTTATGCTGACAGTGTGAGAAATTTGAAAGGTTTAACATTAGGAAGTAATTGTGTTGGTTTCGCAACAAGCAGAATTTGCGAATTACCCATTCCATATGGTATCGTGTTATAATCATTAAATCCTTATCTTAGTCGAACAATTTTTTTGTGACCAATAACAATCAGATATGTGTTGATTAACCCTCCATTACTGGCAGCAAAATTTATTACATAAGTTCTCGCACACGGTCTAGAATTTCGGGCCGATTTTTTTCTGTTTCTGAGTTCAGTAATTATATATTTTTTTAGTATGTTTTGTTTATTGTTCTTTCTTTATCAATTACATTAACTAAGTAACACAAAGAGTTTTTAAATAATTTTATTGGTAAGAAAATGATTACATTAAGCAGGGACACTTTTTCCTCACATGGATTCTTTGAAATATTAAATCATAAATAAGGCTACAACTAAATAACAAAAAGGTATCTGAATTTCTCAGATATAATATTATAACCATTAAAACATATCTCGTTGTGAAAAAAAAGTAGTAAGAGCTTCAATGCTGGTGCCATTCGTTCTCCAAAGATCCTTGTTCAAATGATTGGCCTAGCTTACTCTGGCAAGGTGGAGAATACCAATTAGCGCCTTTATTTCAGAAATATTGGTAGGCTTAGTGTCCCTGTCCCTGTTGAAATTGGGTGTAATATCTTCAATTTTTATATTGGTACAATTAGTAATCATATTGAGCATTCCTTCGTCAAACAAGCATTCACAGATCTCTTGTGCAGATTTTTTAGATTATGCGCAATTTTTTACATGTGGTGATTGTAGAACAATTTTATAACTACGCGTTCTGACGTTTCTAGGTGGACAATGTTCCTTCCATTTTGTTATTTTGTCCTTTCCTACAAAACACGGCTCACGCTGGAGTAGGTTAAGGTCGTAATTTTCTAGCGCCTCATCAAATTCCTGCTCGCTGTCACTATCTAATCTTTCGTCAACGTTGTCAACTTCATCTTGTTCGTCAGCATTGCCGTAATTTTCGTCGTCAGTTAGGACTTCATAAGTTTAAACAATCTTGCTTGTTCTTTTTTGTAACTCATATCTACAATAGGTTCATGACATAAATACCAACAGAAACTAGCGAAAAGAAGCTCAAACTTACCTAATATAACATATAAATACCTAAAAAAAATAATAAGACGAATACTCGCACCGGGTCTACTTGACCGTGTTCGTCAACAATTTTCTATAGACACCACCCACAGACCACCCACTACCCTCTTAATAGAAAGGTACATGGACGGAGAAAATCGTATCCCCCCTACTCCTAGAGATATGCGTTAATTCGTTACGGGTTGATCTTCTACACCGTCCGCGAGTACTTTAAGGTTAATCTGATTCTGTCTCAGTTGATTGACAACTCACCAGATGTTCGATGTTTATCACGTCAATAATTTTGAAGGACTTCCTACTGTATACCTATACCTTGAAATAACGTCATGCCCAGTGTTTATCACAATGAAGGAGCCTCTAAACTAGCAATATCCTTGTTGCAATATTTGGCTATAATACTGGCAACTACAGCCCTGAATGCATGAGCATATTTTCCATAGACAATATTGTGCAAGAATAGCTGACGAAATTGCAAGCGACGAGGTAGATTACATTACTTGCTTTACAAATAGGATTTCGATGTTTCTACAGCAAAATTTACAAGAATGTATTAAAAAAGCGGCTAGTTTGACAGTTGCTGACATTTCGCATTAAATGAGTAATAATAATAATCGTCTTTACTCAAACTGTATAATTCAATACAAAAAAAAGTTGGAAATAGTGGCAAAGTCTAATAACACGCTACTCCTACAATTAACCACCCACGCAAAAAAATGACAGCAGCAGTTATCAAAAGCAAACAAAAGTATGTTGCGCAAATATCTTACTAGATACCTTAAAACTTTACTATATACACAAAGGAAGAAATGACGATTTTAATTTATTTCATTTAACTTCTTGTTTCATTGAGCACTCAGTCCCAATCTAAAGTTTGAAACATAACATCAACAATGAAAATGCAAAATATTGGAGTCAGACCAAATGTTTTGGTGGATTCTGAAAGTTCAATCTAACTAAACTACAATCCGACTTTATCTACTTTCATTTTATCTCTGAAAGTCTTTAGAAGATGTACTTTTACGTTATAAGTACCGATTTTACAAACTCATTTTAGTGCTACCAGATTCTATGGATGGAGCTCAGTATGCCTAAAAAAAATATTTCTAAACCTTTTTATTTTATAAATATAGCGACAATGAATCAATTCCAGGAATTTATTACGCTCAACTAAGTATACTAAGTGACATATAAATCCAAACACCCAGTTTAAATGGTTTTATTTTAATAAAATTTTGTATAAGTACTTAATGAAGCATAATAAGTAAATGATAAAAATTTCAAAATGATTGCACTGCTTTAAAGCCCTTTGACCTTTAATAATGTGTGGATGCACCCTGATGTGCTACGCATGCTCCAACACGCCTAGGCATGCTTCTGATCAGGTGGTCAATGTCCTCCTGTGGTATCTCATTCCATGCAACCACCAACTCCTCTCGAAGTGCTTCTAGAGTCTGAGGAGGACGTTGCAAATTGAGCAATCTCCTACTCATCATATCCCACACGTGCTCAATTGGGGATAAGTCGGGAGATCTTGGTGGCCATGGTAACAATGTGACATCATTATGTTGAAAGAAGTCTATTGTGACTCTTGCAACATGTGTAGAACTTCGTGAATATAACGCTGCGCGTTCATGGTACCTCTGATGAAGATTAAAGGTGACCTGGAACCATAAGCTATAGCACCCCAAACCATAACTCCAGCAGTGTTATGAACATGTCTTTCAACAAAAAACTGTAGGATTCCTCCTTTCACCACGTCGCCTTCTAACCCTGGCACGACCATCGTGCATGCCTAAACAAAATCGAGACTCGTCACTAAAGACAATACTGTTCCATTTCTGATCCCAGAGTGACCTTTGTCTGCACCACTCAAGGCGATTACGTCGGTGTTCTCGAGTTAAAGGGAGGACCCAGTGTGGCCGGTATGAAAACAAGCCAAAACTTCTCATTCGTCGGTAAACACTTCGCATGCCAATAGGTGTTCCGTGTTCTGCAAACCATTCATTTGCAATGGACCTGGTAGTGGAGAAACGGTCCCTTAAGGCCAATAATCTTAGGCGGCGATCTTCACGGTCTGTTTTTCTACGGCGGCGTCCAGTGCCCCTTGCTCTTTGCGTACGGCCTTCTCGAAGCCATGCCTGACAACACCTAACCACAGTGTCTACACTTCTTTGCACTCTAACTGCAATTGCCCGAAAAGAAAGTCCAGCTTCCCGAAGTCCCACTGTACGGCCCCTATCAAACTCACTAAGTTGACGAAATCGTACAGGTCTCCGTACTCTAGGCATGGGATGCCAAGAACCAAAATCCGCCAACGTTGATTCTTTACCGCGGCTGAAATATTCATTTTTAGAGCGTTAGTGAATTAAAAAAAAACAGTATAAAAACCGGAATGTCCAACTGATAAGGCTGAAAATTTTTTCACTTGTTATTTACAGTAAGATAAATACATTCACCTACTTTTATTAAAATAAAACCATTTAAACTGGGTGTTCGGATTTATATGTCACTTAGTATATTTGCTTTTAGCCAAGAATCTGCTCGGATCACGATAGGTATTTAGAAAAACTGAGTAGAATTCATGCAAGGGGTCCCACTATTCCCAATATCAGATATTCCGTTGTTTGTTGGAGAGAATGTTATGAACTATTCACCTTCAAAAATCACGAACTAGATAGAATTTTTCGTATTTATGCTGTACCTGTAATAAATATTTACTTTCGTTTGTTATCCCTATTTAATTTATCCCTCTCTCTATTAACTATAACTGGGCGATTTACATCGCAACACAGATACCTTGACTACCTGAGTACACCTACTTGAATATCCTTTCCAGAAAAAAAGAATGTACTCTGATGTGTTTGTCAGAATGATAGGCATATTAGCCAGATGTATGCACTAAAGTCACCCAATTTTGGCAACAAACAATGCAATGTAAACATATAGGCATGGTTTCTAGTCTATTCGAATTCGTTATCGTGAACCACAATAAATTAATATTGTTATGTACCGCGTTAACTTTACATATTCAATAGTAAAAAAAACAGATATAAATCAGTTAATTTATCTGACCACGCCAATCAGTTGTCAACGTCAGAATCACGAAACGTAGTAAAAGTCGTCATGACCCCAGCTTAATACACCTAATATACCTACTCGCATGCGGCTAATGGGTCTAAATGTTCCGCTGCTGATGAATAATATCCGGAGGACTGCCGACGGCCCTCCGGCTATAAATTATAAACTCGACGGGAGTCGCGCCGGTCGCCGGTCGCTCCGTAGCTCCTACTTCCGAACTTTTACGGTGCTAGACGACTTTCGGATTACTTAATTATACTTTACGCGTGCACGGTAGCATTCATTTATTATATCTCGGAACTTTTCATAATTTGCAGGTTTAATCTGCCTTAACGAGACAGAAAAATGTCAACGACTGTGGTGTCGCATTTTTGAGAAAAGTCACTTAACAAACACCGGATATCCAAGAAGAATAGTAGAAAAAAATTGTGAGAGGATACAACAGAATAAGACGAATCGGAAACCAGATTCTCAAGGAATACGGAGCAATCTTACCAAAACCACACCCAGCAATAAAAATCAGGACACCAAGGATTGGATTAATTTAAAATAACCGAATACCAGTTAACAATAGCAAGGCATCCCTTTAACCGGCGCACTTCACCGTCTTTGCTCTTCACCCTTCCCTCCTTTCTTTCTCCTTTCTTTCTCCATGACTTTGTCTGGTATCTGGGAAACCAGACCTGACAGACCTACTGACCTACGATACTTTAACAAAGAGCGAAAGTCCCACGGACCGCTCTGACTGACAATGACGAATAGAACATTTACATGTTAAATTAGAATAAAGGAAACCATTTTATTGTTTTACGTCGTGGTTATCGTATATAAGTATTTTCTAATTTTGTTACCCTCGCACATGGGCCACTCTTCTGCTGGCTCTTTATTAATTTGTCTTGTATAAAACAAAAAATGTGATGGTTGTATATTTTGGAGTCAGATAAATTTCACTATTACTACTAGTTAACCTGAAGTCTGTTGAAGATCACTTATCAATCAAATGTTGTGATGTCAAAAATTCTATAGACAATGGAAGTCCGAAATAAAAATTTTGAAACATCTACGTTCTCTATGAATTTTAACCGACAGATGTCTCATGCTTTAAAGCAATGATCATTACAGTATAAGTCTATGAACTGGAGACAGGCCACTGAAATAGAACTTCTCTGAGATATAACATAACGTCTTTTGTCACAGGGTCAGGTAAAGAGTGTTGTCATACAAACCAGTCAGAGACATTCGTTTACGTTTAGCCGGTTTTTTTTTGGAAATCGTATGTTTTAATGCGCTATGTTTATTGATACTTTGTGCATAGTATTGTACATACTGCCTGATGATGTGCTACGGGTTGGTGATTCGCTTTGGATACGAAGAGATCGTCAGGCATAACGTTTTAAAGGTACGCACAAGATGCAGGAGCAAAGTAAGGATTTCTTAATTGCTACCATAGCTTATGATGTGTAAAATATGTGAAATCTAAGCCACACCTGATTCAGTGTAACACAAATGTGTCATACTTGGCTCCACCATCTGTCACCGTTTTATGTCGCCAAAGAGGTCCTGATAGCGCCTTTCTAGACTTGATGAGATCGATAAACGGAGAGCTACACAGACAAATGCGACATACAAATGGTTCAAGAAAGCTTGATACATGTTTAGCCCGTGCCCTAAAATGATAAAATACCTACTTCTAACCTTTTTATTCGGTAGTCCGCGGCTTCTTGCCGATTTAAACAAGAGACAGTATTGTCCGTAAGGCAAGATTGAGACTGGTATACTTTATCAGCATAGTCATCTGGTATATTTTCCTATGTACAAAAATGGGAGAAATTCAAATTCAAGGAAGGTGTAACCAATCTCTACGTAATTATCTGCGTTTCGTTTATCTTGCGAGTTTTGCTCGAGCAGCATGTGTTCTGCCCGCCTAAATGAGCGACTTCGGCTCATTTTTCTTACCTGGCAGTTTATGGCAAAGTACTTATAATGATTGTATAGCCAATTAAAGGAACCATATCCATAACTATTTAAAAATATAAAATACAGTAGGTGACAGGTAATAGTCGTAGTTAGTTCATGGATCGACATTTATAACGAAGTATGATTATACATTTTTATAGAT